GGGGGGGGGGGGGGGGGGGCGTTGTCCGAAATTTGAAAGTTGTATCGGAAATTTAGAAGGCTATGCGCCCCTCCCCAGAAAAAGTCAATTTCTGCCACTGGTACCCTACCCCTAACCCAGTGCCGTAGCTTGCTAATAATCACTCTTTTTCCAAAATCATGCAGACCTTTATCATTTAAATAACATACCTTTAAAATACTGACAAATGATTAATTTTAAGCGGCTACATTATCCATGACAAACTCCAAAGAATGAAGATATTTCTCATACTTTCCTGCAACTTATCCAATATATAGTTAATTAAATACGCCTTCACCCGTCTAGTGCCACTAAATTGCAAATTTCGATATACTAATAATTAACTGCTGTTTCCTGACCATCAGAATTCTGCCAAATCTTCCCAAAGTCCAGGAAATGGCATTTCAGAGTACATTTCTTTCGCTACTAACTCTTGACGAAGGACCTTCGCTCGAAACGTTGAGTTTCTGCTTATTTTTTAAGGTAGTAATATAACCATTGAGCACAGCATTTCAGAGTACTCTAAATTCAAAAATTTCCTCTGGCTTTTCGCCCACACTTTCAGCTCCCGAATCAAAAAGAGCTTTCTACAGCACTGTATTACCCTTTATAACACTTCTCCTAACCCTACATACTCCTAACCGATTTTACCCATCAACAGGGAAGCTCTGCTAGACATGTCTCGATTCTGCTCGGCAACATTTGACCAACTTCTTGGGTTTAGAGCAACTTCAAGCAACTTTTTAGTACACTCTTATTAGCGAAAAATGTTATGAGCCCAGCTTCAGACTCTTCAGAGCTCTGCGGCTTCTTGGTTAACCACAAATCTGACAATGTCTCCAGTTAACCCAGTCCATCCCACTGAGCACTCTACGTGATTTTTTACTCGTGGTTGGGGGTACTATCCTTTTATAATTCATGTGAAGGGGTCATTGAAGTTTTTGTGATGCAGGGGGTGGGGCAGGATATTTCGCTCATGCAGTTGATTAATGGAATTTTGCCAGCCCAAGCGCCGTCATCAATAATGAATGATCAATCGGACAATTTTGAGTCGATTTAAGCAAGAATGACGAGGGATGAAAAAGGATGAACAACTATGAAGAGAATTCTTGTCCAGGGTGAAATGCAAAAAATCTACATACACCAAGTAGAACGGAAAACAGAGAATATTGAACTATTGCAATATGTTTGCTGGTTCCATCGTTGACATCATGTTATAGTGGTAAAGACCGATGCCATCATGAGCGAAAATTGTGGACCATTCCCAGGTAAAACTCTCGTAACTTTTCGTATAATTTTTTCCTTATTTCTTTTTGCCATTTTCATTTACAAAAAGTGTCTAAATCGTTGCTCATAACAGCTGATTGCTCATATTTTTATAATGTTTTGTATATTTGGACAATTTTGAGTCGATTTAAGCAAGGATGACGAGAGATGAACAAGGATGAACAACTCTGAAGAGAATTCTTCTCCAGGGTGAAATCGAAAAAATCTACATACATCAAGTAGAACTCTGAAAACAGAATATTGAGCTATTGCAATATGTTGGCTCTTTTCCATCGTTGCCATGATGGTATGGTGGTAAAGACTGACGCCATGATAAGCGAAAGTTGTTGACCGTTTCCAGGTAAAACTCTCGCAACGTAATTTTTTCTTTATTTTTTTTTCCCATTATTTTTTCCAAAAAAGTCTCTAAATCGCACCTCCTAACAGCTGAATATTCATTTTTTGATATTTTTTTGTATGTTAGGACAATTTTGTGTCGATTTAACCAAGGATGACGAGAGATGAACAAGGATGAACAACTCTGAAGAGAATTCTTCTCCAGGGTGAAATCGAAAAAATCTACATACATCAAGTAGAACTCTGAAAACAGAATATTGAGCTATTGCAATATGTTGGCTCTTTTCCATCGTTGCCATGATGGTATGGTGGTAAAGACTGACGCCATCATAAGCGAAAGTTGTTGACCGTTTCCAGGTAAAACTCTCGCAACGTAATTTTTTCTTTATTTTTTTTTCCCATTATTTTTTCCAAAAAAGTCTCTAAATCGCACCTCCTAACAGCTGAATATTCATTTTTTGATATTTTTTTGTATGTTAGGACAATTTTGTGTCGATTTAACCAAGGATGACGAGAGATGAACAAGGATGAACAACTCTGAAGAGAATTCTTCTCCAGGGTGAAATCGAAGAAATCTACATACATCAAGTAGAACTCTGAAAACACAATATTGAGCTATTGCAATATGTTAGCGCTTTTCCATCGCTGCCATGATGGTATAGTGGTAAAGACTGACGCCATCATAAGCGAAAGTTGTGGACCGTTTCCAGGTAAAACTCTCGCAACGTTTCGTCTAATTTTTTCTTTATTTCTTTTTGCCATTATTTTTTCCAAAAAAGTCTCTAAATCGCACCTCCTAACAGCTGAATATTCATTTTTTGATATTTTTTTGTATGTTAGGACAATTTTGAGTCGATTTAACCAAGGATGACGAGAGATGAACAAGGATGAACAACTCTGAAGAGAATTCTTCTCCAGGGTGAAATCGAAAAAATCTACATACATCAAGTAGAACTCTGAAAACAAAGAATATTGAACTATTGCAATATGTTAGCTATTTCCATCGTTGCCATCATGGTATAGTGGTAAAGACTGAGGCCATCATGAGCTAACGTTGTGGACCGTCTCCAGGTAAGACTCTCGTAACTTTTCGTATAATTTTTCTTTATTTCTTTTTGCCATTATTTTTCCAAAAATGTCTCTAAATCGCACCTCCTAACAGCTGAATATTCATTTTTAGATATTTTTTTGTATGTTAGGACAATTTTGAGTCGATTTAACCAAGGATGACGAGAGATGAACAAGGATGAACAACTCTGAAGAGAATTCTTCTCCAGGGTGAAATCGAAAAAATCTACATACATGAAGTAGAACTCTGAAAACAGAGAATATTGAACTATTGCAATATGTTAGCTCTTTTCCATCGTTGCCATGATGATATAGTGGTAAAGACTGACGCCATCATAAGCGAAAGTTGTCGATCGTTTCCAGGTAAAACTCTCGCAACCTTTCGTATAATTTTTTCTTTATTTTTTTTTCCATTATTTTTTCCAAAAAAGTCTCTAAATCGCACCTC